GTACTGTGCTGGCGGCGGTGATCAATCTGGTCTGACCAGGCGCCTCCTCTTCAGCCGTATCATTGATGTGGCCCTGCATTTTCGCCATTTGCACATCGACATGACAGAGTTAGGCTGTTTGCGCCTTCTCATGCTATTTAATCCAGGTCAGTACAGTGCTCCCAATGGCCTCCATCTTTCCTATCACGTTTCCTCCGTCGAGCTCTCCGCTCGCGATTGCCACTTTCCAAGACTGTACTAGCAAAAGGGGTACTTTGAGAGAAGCGTACCTACTTTATATGCTCATAATGACGCATAAAATATAGTAGACCGTAAATTCGTAAACTAAATACCGCATGGAAATGTAGCCTTTGGAGACATCATTACGTAAGTGCACTTGGTAAATTTTCCTGGCCGGCCAAAGAATCTTAACCGTGTATTTAAATAGCTAGTTTTTGTTTGTCCACGAGTTCATATAACCTAACGGATGCAGATGAGGAACACTTAGGAAAGTGCCCTGGCTAGTCCAACATTTTCCGCTTGTCTTTGTGCATTATTTGTTGCCGTTTGCTATCCTACCTTCTACAAGTACCCCTGTTTAGGCTTCTGTGGCCAAACTCAATGAGTATGTTAGTCCCTCAAGGGCAGCTGTGAAGTGCGGTTGCCGTCTGGTTCAGTATGGCTTGCAATGACGAGGCCCTTCGGGCCTAAAATATAAAATTTATTTATTTATATATTTAGGGTGATAGACAATGCCTCTGAAGACCCCATTAAAAAGGGGCATACAAAAACAGCCAATTTAAAATACATGAAATAAATACATTACTATAAAACAGGGAGTAACATAATCACATGTACACATTTTTTGAAATGGAATTCACGCATGGTCATCCCGAAGATCAGAGGTAAAATTGTCAAATGGTAAATATTGACTTCATCTATAAATGTGAGCAAAGCATCACTATGTTCTAACAGTGCTTTCCTGTGCAGATGAACAGTATCTGTTAATTTGAGTTGATCCAGTTGTGAAAAAACTCGAGGCGTTCGCCGTTTGTAGCTTAGCGGTTAGAGCGTTGGCTTCCGGTAACGGCCTTCCCTGATACGCG